GAAATTCCACTTGAAAGAAAGTGGGGGCGGTGAGGATCGAATTTGGGACACGAGGCTCTGGTACCATGTAAAGAATCAATTTAACTCAAAAGCTTAAGCTAGTGGGTGAGGGCTTTTTAATGGTTTTATATATCTCAACACTCTTAATCAAGAAAAAACGTGAGAGTTGTTGAAATGTTTAATTTATATTTTTTGGCGTCAAAACTATGATGATCGTTGTATTCTCTTAACTCTTAAGTTATTTCATTCCCTCTTTTCTTATTTAGCAAAACTATAATGATCGTTATATTCTCTTAACTTTTAACTCTTTTAGTTATTTTTGTCCTTCTGAAGTTTTTAATTTAGCTACAAATAAAATTTATTATATTTACTAATTTATATTAGCTAAAGTATATACATGTTAAAAAAAATATGTGTAGATGGACAGCTGAGAAATATATATATTCTATTTTTTTGAAAAATAAATTAATTTTAATTATTAAAAATATGAGACAGGATTGAGTTGAGAAAAAATTGATCATATATATATTAAATTATATATATATATAATTTAATATAGCTAGACTAATTACTTTGATTAATTTAATAAAAATCCCGCGATTCACACTAAAATAAATATAATCATAATAATATTTATTAAAACATTGGCTTTACTAAATGCGAACATCTTTTAGACAAGAGTAACAGAAGAAAGCTTGAGAAGAAGCATTTACAAAGACCTTAATCTAGATGACTTTAATGAAACTTTGGTTATTGATACCACCGTTTAGAAAAAATTCAAAAGACGCTTAAACAAGGATTAAAATGCAATGAACATTATTTACCAAAAAAAAAAACAGAAATGCAATGAAGATTCAGAGAAGACAATTTTAGAGTTCTGTTGGTTGTGTCCCCACAATCACAACATAATACAGAATGAAGAAGAGGTACTTACTTACTAGAGAGGCGACTTCAATTGTTTGATGAAATACTTCTGAGGGATCTACACCACAGAACACTGGCAGGACCTTGGTATATTTGGTTCTGTGACGCTCCGCTCCGCTCCATTATTACCTCCTTACAACATTTCCAGAGAAAATAGTGAATATGCTTACTTTCTTGAGAAAACAATAACATAAACACTATTTTGAAACGGCTCATCATTATCATGTACAAAAACACTAGTTGTTTGTTGGGTGAACATGCAAAGAAGAAGAGGGTTCTGATCTGTAATAATGGGGTAGGTGGTGGTGGTTTCGGTGAACTGAAGAGAATGGATCTATGGAAGTGAAATGAGAGTACAAAGATAATGTAAAGTGAGAGAGAATGGACAGAGCGCAGCAATTAATGATCAGGTTTGTCTTTCCCATCGGCTGCTCTGACTTCTGAGGAGCGCATTACCCCAAGGGGCAAGTCATCACCTTGGGTTGAGGAATGAAAGTTTAAAAAAGAAAAATAGAAAGAATAAGCTAGCTTTCAATAAAATAATGTAACGGAGGGTTTGTGTAATGATTGGGGTGGTGGTGGTTTCGGTGAACTGAATACATTAAACATCATCTTCAAAATGAGATCTGACATTGACTATCTAAACAAGAGAATACATTGATATCAATAGCAAAGACTATCTTTGGAGAAAAAGCGAGAGACTATGCATGGCACTAGGGATTATAGACTACAGAATAGGTGAATGATTGATACAACGCAAAAAAGAAGACTGACAAAAGCAATTAATAATCAAGCTCTTGTCAAAACACAACTTTCAGCAATTAATGGCCGAAAGCAATTAATCTCACTCTGATCTCGGATCAACAGAACAGTAGTATATCTCCTATTTAATAAAGTAACACGAACCATTTTTTTTATTATTTGTTTTTGTTTTTTTATGGGAGGCTGAAACTTTAATCTCATACCACCATCCAGTGCTCCAACAACCCACGTATGAATTCCTTATATACATACATGCATGCTTTTAAAAGTAGAGACAAAGTAATAATACTGATTGAACTGAAACTGAGATTCTAAGATTCAGCTACAACAAACTTAACACTACAAACACAAGAGTCCAGTTACAATGAACCATAGAGTACAAATTTATTAATGAAGATTTAAGAAAAAAATAAAGGTATGGAGGGGAAGTTACCTTATCCTCAGCAGCAAGTAAAGGAAGATGGAGAAGAATCTCAAGAGGCTCAGTGTCGGGTGCCATCAAGACAACTAGTTCAGAAATGCCTCTTTTCAGTGTCTTTTTTTAGCTGCAAATAAAAATACATGTTTTATGGTCGCTGAAACAAAAAGAAAAATAAAAAAACACAATAACACTTAAAATGGTAGAACCAATGAAATAAAAGCAGAGGCGAAAGTAGTGATAATAATACCTTCATCAGTACCCTTTTTGAGTTGAGCTGCTTGTAGTTGGCAGCAAATTAAGTGATAAAACTGCAATATTGTTATTGTAATGTGGAATTACAGAATTTCAGAATTAAGGGGTTGTTAGAAGAGAAGAAGATGAGAGATAGAGATAAGAAAGAGTAGAAAGAAGATTCATTCAAAATATGCATATCTCATTCATACGATACTAACGTCTTTATAGTGCCATATTCATAATGGGCCTACAATTATCAACCATTGTCTCTTATTACAACATGTGAATTAAAGTACTTCTATTACCACTTCCCAGCCCAATGAGACATCAGCCAGTCTCATAGTCCTCCAAGTGTTGGGGCTTCTTGTGGATCCGTTTACTTGGGCCCAATTCATTAGGGAGATCTGTTACATCCCCCTTTGGTTCAAGCGAATCCTTGTCCTCAAGGATAAGTGGCGGTCCAATCAAATTCACGTAGCTGGTCTTAATATTTGTGAAAGGTTGATCAGATGAGTAGGTGGGAAGTAGTTGGACCTCATTAAAGCTAGGCGTGTCTACAACAAATATAGCTGGCACATGCATTGGGTGTTGGTTAAACGAGGGAGGCTGAAAAGTCTTTGGGTAAACACAACCCATTAACTCCCTGTTCAGAAGCTCCTCGTTTGTATCAGATTGCTGGTTCCTCAAATAATGCTTCTCCTCCCATTAGAGTCTTGACCCCCTTGAGTCGTCTTCTTGTCCCAGTTTTCCCTGGTCACCTTCCTAGAGAGTGAACCCAGATGTAGTTTTCGTGTGAGGTTGTGGTTCCTGATTCAAAACTAAATCCTCATCTTCCCATGTACTGTCCTCAGGGGGTAGGCCGTGCCACTGCACGAGAACTTGTGCTACCCTCGTCCCTTTGCACCATACTTCCCGGTTCCCCACAATTGCTGCTGGCGTATGCGTCATCGGATTATCACGTGGAGCGTGTGGTAGATCAATGGAACTGGTACTGACTATCCGATTTGAAGGGTCTCAACAAGGATACGTGGAACACTGGGTGGATGCGAGACAAAGATGGAAGCTTGAGGCAGTAAGCCACCGGCCCAACTCGTTCCAGCACTTCAAAGGGCCCATAAAAGCGCAACGCAAGCTTCTGAGACGATCTTCGCTGAATGGACAGCTGACGATACGGCTATAAACGGAGTAAAACTTGCTCTCCAATGGTAAAATTCTTGTCTTTACGTTTCTTGTCAGCTTGATGTTTCATTTGAGTTTGAGCTCTCACCAAATTTTCTTTCACAGTGGCGAGGATGGAAGCTCGAGAGGCTAAGGTGTTGTCCACGGCCTCGTTTGAGGAGGATCCCAGCGTGTAAACCAGTAGATTGGGAGGTGGCCGGCCAAACGTAATCTGGTACGGAGTCATGCTGGTTGAACTGTTAAAAGTCGTGTTATGATGATACTCTGCCCACGCCAAATATCTGGACCAAGAAGATGGATTATCAAAGTAATAGCCCTTAAAAATTGTTCCACACATCTGTTTACCCTTTCTGTTTGGCCATCGAACTGAGGGTGGTAAGCTGAACTGAACCGTAATGTGGTCCCTTGCAGGCGAAAGAGTGTGGTCCAAAAATTGCTTAAAAATAAAGGATCACGGTCGGAGATGATGGATCGAGGAATGCCATGGAGTTTTCCAACCGAATCCCATAACACCTGTGCGATCTTTGTTGCGGTTTAACGTGGTGGAAGGGCTACAAATTGGGCACCTTTGGAAAAGCGATCCACAATGACAAGGATTGCTGAAGATCCATGAGACAGGGGCAGGTGAGTAATGAAATCCATACTCAAGTCAGTCTAAGTCTCTTCTGGTGGTTTGATGGGTGCTAACAGTCCGAAGGGTGAGTGATTGAGGGGTTTTATCTTTTGAAAAATTTCACAGTTTGCCACATACTCACGAATGGTCTTCCTCATTCCTTTCCAGGTAAAGTTGGTGGCAATGCGTTGCTGAGTACCAGTGAAACCAGAGTGACCCCCTGGACCGAGGTGTGCAAATCATGTAATAAGTGGGGAATGATGGAGGAATTCATGGGGAGAACGATGCTGCTGCGAAAGAACAGCAATCCGTCTTTTACTTTCCATTTGGGCCATTTAGCCGGTGCAGTCTGTAAATCTTGTAAGATGTTCTTACAGTAGGAATCTTGTTGTAATTCCTGTAGTAGTAGGGATTTGTAATCACTAATGGGACCACTCATAGCAGACAAATGGGACTTTGTAGTGTCGAAAGCCCCTTCTGGATGCCTGGACAAGGCATCTGCCACAATGTTAGTTTTACCAGATTTGTATGTGATAGAGTAATTGAAGCCCAAGAGCTTTGACAAAAAGGACTATTGCTCCGATGTTTGAACAACTTGATTCATGAGGTTGTGCAAGCTCTTATGATCTATCTGAATGGTAAAGGGTACCCCCAATAGGTACTGTCTCCATTTAGCCACTGCGGATGTAATAGCGAATATACGTAGACTTAGTGCGCATAGTGGGGGCCAACTTCCTACTATAGAAAGCAATAGGATGATTATTTTGAAGCAAAACTGCACCTACTCTGATACCGGAAGCATCTATTTCCACCACGAACGGTTCTTTGAAATTTGGCAAAGCCAAAATAGGTGTTGCTATTAGTGAATTACCCCATTTTGTAACATTTCACAACCAGTTTCTCTATCTCAATCTTTTGGAAATGCGGGTATCTATATGGACGAACCTGGACAGGTTTGGCATCAGGAATTAATGGTATGCGATGGTTATTGGGCCTATCTGGAGGTAGGGAATTGGGTGCGGCAAAGACGTCTCTGTATTGGTCCAATAAGGTCTGGACTTCAGGGTTCTGCTCACGGTCATTCTGTTTCGGTGAGGCAAAAGTTGGTGGTGCAGCCACAGCAGACAAGCACATAATACAAGACTCCAGAGACTTCTGAGCCACTAATTTATGCAATTGAGAGGAAGTAATAAAGCTTACTGCAATCCATTGCTCTCCTTGAAGAACGACGTGTACCCCTTGAAATACAAAGCCCATTGTCAGCTTTTGGTAATCAGTCACAATAGGTCCCAAAGTTGATAGCCATTGGACACCAAATACCATATCAGCCCCTTGTAATTCCAAGACAAATAAGTCCACTGAGAATCGGCGACCTTGAATGTCTAAAGGAACCGATTGACACATGGCTGAACAAGTAAGTGAGTCACCGTTCCCCACCTGCACATTAAATGGTGGAATAGATAGCAATGTAAGGTGTAAGTGAGTAGCTACTCTAGGAGTGATAAAATTATGTGTGCTACCACCGTCAATTAGGATTTGGACCGACTGGCCCATCACAGTGCCCAATAACCTGAATGACTTTGAGGAATAAGTGCCAGATAAAGCATTAAAACTGATTTCGGGAACCTCCTCAATCTCTTCTATGTGTGCGTTTGTTTCAGGAACTGGATCACCAGTATCAGGGGGTTCATCCTCCTCAAGCCCTTCTAAATACAATAATGAAGCGCGTGCCTTGCATTTGTGGCCATAAACAAATTTCTCATCACAATTGAAACATAGACCCTTATCTCTTTTCACTTGCATCTCTGCTTGACTTAAACGGCGAATGGTGATAGCTGGGATGGGTTTTGTGGAGTTGGGGTTTGGGAGGGCTAAAGGTTGAAAGGGTTTTGTATGGGACGATGAAAGAAATTGGGAATTATGGGATGGAGAAAAAGGTGGTTTAGCCGTCCAAGGGCGTATGGATTTTTCATCACTAAGCTGGTCTTCAAAAACTTTAGCTAGAGCCAACGCTTCATGCCAATCACCTGGCCTTTGAGGTAAAACCAAACGGTGAATGCGAGATTTAAGTCTTGAAATAAACAGGCCACATTTCATAGTGGCAGAGAGGCCAGGGACCTTGCTGGCCGCAGCCTCAAATGCAGATTGATACTCAGCCACAGAACCTTGCTGCTGAAGTTTAGCAAGGGTACCTATGGGCTCATCGAATTCAGATGGCCCAAAGCGCCTGTGTAGCACTATGACAAATGCAGCCCAAGTGGGTAGTAACCCTTCATCACTCAGTCCCCTAAACCAGCAAGCTGCAGGGTCATCTAGATGGAATGCAACAATTAATAAACGTTCCTTTTCACTGATTCTATAATATTGGCAATATCTATCCACCGAAAAAAACCATGAAGTTGGATCACTAGAATTAAATCGTGGAAAAGTAAGCTTAAGAGGGCAAAAAGTAACCAGATCTGTATTATTGGTGTAAGATTTGGAACTTGGTCCAGATCCCAAAATTCCTGAGTGAGAATACGCTCATTGGTTTTGAGCATCAAGTATCCGCTGCAATGTCTGTTGGATTTGTGCGTGTGATTCCTGGAGGTGAGCGTCAGACTCTTGGAGTCCTAAGTGTTGCTGCTCCCAAACCAGTTCTGCAAAACACAGCTGTTGTTCTAGTAGATCTAATCGATGGTTTTGTTGTTCCAAAGCATCCAATCGCTGTGCTAAATCCCTTATTCTTGTGTTATCCGCCATGATCGAGTAGAATGAGTAAGCAACGAACGAACCAAATTGTAATGTGGAATTACAGAATTTCAGAATTAAGGGGTTGTTAGAAGAAAAGAAGATGAGAGAGAAAGAGAGAAGAAAGAGAAGAAAGAGTAGAAAGAAGATTCATTCAAAATATACGTATCTCATTCATACGATACTAACGTCTTTATAGTGCCCTATTCATAATGGGCCTTCCTACAATTGTCAACCATTGTCTCTTATTACATCATGTGAATTAAAGTACTTCTATTACCACTTCCCAGCCCAATGAGACATCAGCCAGTCTCATAGTCTTCCAAGTGTTGGGGCTTTTTGCGGATCCGTTTACTTGGGCCCAATTCATTAGGGAGATCCATTATAGTTATTGTGAGTTGAGCATCGGCCAAAGGTAACCATTTTTTTGTTGATTGAAAGAAAGAAAGAAAGAAAGAAAGCATGAAGAAAAATTGAAGAACATTCAAGTCAGGTTCAATGAATCGTTTAGAAGGAAGAGATGATAACGAAAAGGTAACCATTTGTGATTTGATTGAAGGGTGAGAAGAGAAGGGGGATAGGGTTTTTCGTGGAAAAGAGAAGAAAGAGTTATAAAATGAATCCCGCCCAATTTGTATCTGAATGAGAGGCATGTATGTATGTTTTGGAAGTGAAGTGAAGTGGATACATTACATTGATTGCAGTTTTGGGTTATTGCAGGGCCACACTTGACAGACACTACACTGAGAGCGAGCAATGGTTAATGTGTTATTTTCTGAAGCATCTTTGTTTTGGGCCCAATCCAATCCAATCCATCTTTGTTTTGTCACTACATCGAGGAAGAATTTCTGAATTCTAAATAAATAAATGTTAATAAGAGTGCTAATTAATATCTACACTACCGTAAAAGGGGGGATTCCATACTTTAGCGTCCACTTTTTATCATTTCAAATTCCAAAAAATTATTGATTTAATTATTTTAAAAAAATATTATTCAAAATATACAACTTTAAATACATCTTAAAAGGATAAAATATAGTCACTTAATGTTTACCCAAAAAATATATATAATCACTTAAAACACTAATTATTATTATTATTATTATTAAAAAATAGAATTAGCAAACACGTAATACTGACCAATAAACTAAATAATATATAATGGAAATCCCCTTCTTTGGTTTTTATTTTTCAAAATTATTATTATTAACTACTCAATAAAGAATGAAATTATAGAACAGTTTCAAACCTAAAAAAAACTTATTTAGAAAGCATGATATAAGTTTTCTTTTACATGTCGGGTCTATAAGTTTACAGGTCGGCCTATTTTATATTATTTAGTTTAAATAAAATAAATAAATTATTATTTTAATGGTTTTGAATAATAAAGTTTTATTTGAATAATAAACAAGCTGAGATGATAAGATATAACATTGCATATAATCCCTGCTTCTTCCAAGTAATTTTCAGACAACAGTGATACACAGTAAAATATCAACATTTAGCACAACAAATATGTTAACAAAAAATTAAGAATCATATGTAGCAAAGACAATGTCAAAGTTGAACAACCTAATTACGAGGAAATGGTTGGAGCTCATACGATGTTGCTTTGCTAGAATTCTGGTGGTAGTGATACCCTTCAGACATGTGATTGAGAGAACCAATAAGGGATGAAGACGAAAAAATAGATTTAATCTGGGTTTTTTGGGGTTTTTTAAGAAATAAATATCGCCCCAACAGGTCAACTTGCTTTACCCTAGGCCGCAACCTGTTATAATCGATATTCTATATAGGTTGGATTATGTGGGTTAAACTTTGTTATCTAACACAGAAAATCATAGGCTAAAGCAACAAAGTATACTCATTTTGTCAACCATGTTAGATATAGATCACCATATAAATGAAGGGTTCGCAATTTCTTTTGTTGCTGTAGATGAAATTTTTTACAGCAAATACATTTATATTAGAATCTGCCGGTGTATCCTCGCTTTATATAGTATTATTGAAGAAATTATTATTATTATTATTTTTTTTTGTAAATAAATTATTATTATTTTTGCAGTGAAAGGAGAACTGTAATTTTCACAAAAAAATTGTATTGAATACTTCCATGATACCGTGATTTATTTCATATACATGTGGGTTAACCGGTCAATACAACCTGCACCTATTAACTTTATGCTAGTAAACATTAATTGTGCATGTCACACGACAGTTGAAGATCAATGTGTGACATAAGCAAGTTATTAGTTTTATTTATCTTGTTCATTATATTTATTGCGAGAAATCTTATGCAAAATGAATTTATCGCCAATAATCTAAAACATATAGTACTATACAAGATCATGATATCTGACTCTTGATTTCATTAAATATCAACTAGCTAGATACGATAATTTGCGATATTTTATGGATAAATTATCTATTCGTGTTATATAATCAACTAGACACTGGGTTTTTTTTTATATATATTTGTAATTTGAAAACATAACTACTAAACAGTTAAGAAATCTTTCTCTAAAAATCACATTACTAATGATTATTCATCAACCTTTCATTAAATTATTACATGATATACACTCATCACGCATACACAAGACATTTCTTACAATTTGGTCAAGGGATGTTGAGTTATTGATGGTGTGGTTGATGATTTCTTAATTGATGGGGGAGTGTTAGTTTTATAAAAGCTTGATTAATCGGGAAGTATTAGTTTTATTAAAACAACAAATAAATAAGATTTTGAAGAGTTTTTGATTATGAGACTTTAAGATTGAAGTTAACTATGTCCATGTAAAAGAGAATATTAAAGTGTGAGCATAGTAAAATCTTATATTAGGGCTTGTATTAATTGTTTGAGGATATTCTAATACTAAGTATAGAGCATTATTAGCTAGATCGACTATTTAAATTACATTCACAGAGGAGTGGGACATATTTCATGGATATTCAATATAGCCCAAACTTAGTAACTTCTAGGCCATCTAAGATTTCTATTGTAGATATAAAACATTATTATATTCAATGATGACAATAGGAGATCAACGTGTAACTATCATCTAGTTGATAGCAATTATTAGCAACTATTTGTTGTTAAGAGTTATGATTTTCCTTGTGAAGTTTTATGGCTGGTTGTTTTTAAAAAGAGGATTGCAAATTTGGGATTTGTTAGTATTGTGCGGCCCTAAGTGTAAATTGATTGGTTTGGTTTGAAATTCAGGCCTATTACATTGTTATGACAAGTGTACTAAAGGTGTGCATGTCAATCATCTGATAATCAATTTTTTTTTTTAATTTCTGTTTTCGGGAACATAATCGGATAGAAACAGCATTTGGTGAAATTGATTTATTTTGTTGTTCTCGGGATGAACTGGTTTAATTTTTATGTCGGGGAATAAAAAAAAAGAAACAAAAAGTTTTTGCTTCTCTGTTTCAGGGAAAAAAAAAAGAATCACTTTTCTATTTTTTTTTTTTCATTCATCATTCTCAACCCTTTCTTTCAAAAAGAAAAAAATGACGCCTTTTGCTCTTTCCTCCTCCGACGCTTCTGCCTTCTATAAGTTTTTTTCTCTTCCCCTCTTTTCTCCTTTGTATCAACTGTGGTTTTGATTTTGTTTTCACTTTCTCTTTTTCTTTCTCATTCGCTTTCCAATGTTTCCTCTGTCAAAAAAGGATCGAAACCTTAGCATTTGGAAGTGGTTTTTCACGTTCTCAAGTCTGTCATTTACGAATTTTTCTAATGTGCTTCAGGAGCACAACACTATTTCATGGTCCTTTAATAAAAAAGGAAAAAAATTCTCATTTATACCCTTTTCTTTTTTTCAAATTTTCATTCAATCCTTTTTTCTCCCTATTTTTTGAAAGGGAGTACAAGCTCCCGGAGCATGAAAACCGAGCTCGTCATTTATGCTGCACTCTGACATACTTGAGTTTCAGTTTCAGCTATGTTTTCTTTCAATTTCTGTTGCAAAATCGGCAAGCATACCGTTTGTTTCAAGTAATAAAAGTGATAAGTAAGACATCGTTCCCTCGAGGATCCACTACTAGAAAAATCTTGTATAGCGAGGGAAGAAAACGATTTTGCGATGGAATTTGCGAGGGAAAGTAGTAGCGAGGATGAAATTAGCGACAAAATTTGCATAGCAATTCCCTTGCTATACAGGATTTTTCTAGTAGTGATCAATGCACCACTTACTAATTTAACTATTCCTTTTGAGTTGGAAGAAAAATTCAATTTGATTGTGAAAATATTTGTGATCGTAATTTAAAAACAGAAATTCAAAACAATAATATTCAAAAGCACTCAAGAATATCAAAAACGTTAAGAAAATATAAGAGTGATTAAAAATTGTAAAACAACTGCAGTCAGGATGCACTTCACCTCCGATCCTCCTATATATTCCTAAATTGTATTTTATAACTAACTAATTTATTAGCTCAGAATAGTTGAACCCTAATGTCTTAGTGATTTCAACCCTTTAACCCAATTAGAATTCTAGTGTCTTAGTAATTCCTCTTTAATTAAGCATTAAGCAAATGAATTAAAAGTTTGCAATCTATGTAAGCCTATGTCTAGGTCATGCACGGATTGTTATTCTACCATTGTCCAGATTAAAACTCCAATATGTTTATTGTGAGCTCTAACCCTCAAAACCCTATAATAGAGCGATAAATTCCATCAAGGATATGGAAGAATTAACACGGGCAAAATAAAACTAACTAAACTAATTAATTTATAAAAACAATATAAAAACTATAAAGGATTCACATTGGGTCCAGATCCCAACTACAAAAAGAACTTAGCCAGACATATCTGGCTCTAACAAATTAAAGAAATAAAGATTGTTCATAAAAGCAATAGAAAAGAATAAGAAGATGAAGCAGAAGAATCAATGGTCTTCGGTCTTCAACTTCGTCGGAATCCTGATCTCCAACGTGAGTCTCCAAGAATTCTTTCAATTCACTGATTCTCACAATTCTCTCCAGCCAAAGATGTCTGTCTCCGGGGT